TCTCTCCCTCCCTCCCTCCCTCCCTCCCTCCCTCTCCCTCTCTCTCTCTCCCTCCCTCCTTCAGTGAAATCTATATAGCCAAGATAGTGAATTTCCTATAGCCAAATTAACATTACATTCGGCTATCAAAGTGTGTCAAATTCTTAACAGGTTACTACTGCAACTTAGTAATAGAAGGATTCTAAATTATGCTACATCCAAATTCTTTTCACTCCTAAACTATACTATACACAATTTCTTTTTTCTCTAGTCTATGTGGCACGTTTCTCCTGAAATACTTTTCCTAAGTCATGTACCTGATCCTGTCATTCCTGGAAGACAGGAACTTAATTCTTGACCCATATCTGTGAATTTTGTATTTCTTTTCAAGCACCTTAACCTTTCAGAGGCTCAGTTTCCTTGTCTCTATGGTGAAGGAGTTGATGACTAAGCTTTCTTTCGCTTCTAAACTGTTATAATGCCAAAGCTCCCCATCTCTGGAAGAATGAAGTACACACTTCCTAAGCACAGCCGAATCACTCTTGCTGCCCTTTCCTCCCACCACTGCTCTCATGCATTCTGCAGTCTTCTGACCTGGCCAACTATTCTCAGAACCTCTGTGCTTTTCTACCTACACGCTTTTGTTATCACTGTCCCTGCTCTATTGTCCATGTCTACCTGTGGGAAGCTTTCCTGATCTCTCAATGGAAAGTTATGCCAGCCAGTTCTTCCTGCTTACTAATGGAGCTATATGTCTTTAAACTGGCACAGTCTAGCATGCCTTACAGCTGTGGATGCATTAGCCTAGATAACCTAGTATATTGTAAGTTTCCTCTAGTATAGGAACTTTATTCATGTTTACGGTTTCTCTCACATCTATTTCAGAGTTATGCCTGTTATAGGTAAATAATATTTAGAGGGATGATCACTAGAATTGCTGCTGAGCAGAATCTGTTACTAAAGTAAACAGACTAAACTAGACAGCAGTCTTGATTCTGTTTCATTAGATAGTGAATTAAACTTCTCCATGTCTCTTCTTATCTTAAACTGGTAATATCTATAGCCTTTTTCTTCACAGGTTATTTGTATTTTGTGAGGCAAGCAAGTGAAAGCATTTAATACATTTACTTAAATGTTAGCTCTTTCATGCCAGTAGTTTAAAATAAGAAATTCTTTGATTTACTTTTATCTCTTCTTTTGAGGGTCAAATGATTATGAAGGCATTTTTAACTGAAGGTGGGGACATCTGCTCTTTTAAAATATTTACATCAGGGAACTCATTTAACCTATTTTTTTAGTATGCAGACAATTTTTTATTTCTGCTGTTCTTTCTGTTTTGCCTTCAGTATAATCTTTGGGGATCCCAAAGAAAGGATTATATCTATAAATTCTTAATATAAAGCAGTGGAAAAGTTTAAATACATGGCATTTTACTCTGCATTCAACTTTAGCAGAGTACATATGCTATATACATATTATATAGCACCTCTATGGTATAAAATCTGGCCACGATTTGAATTTTAAAAGCAGAAGAAATTGAAGTTATCTTTAAGGGTCACCAAATTATAACTAAAATTATTATTGAGTAGCCAAATGTAAAATTTAAAGTTTTACAAAACAAAAGGAATCTAATTTGAATCTAATCGAGTTAAAAATGAAAAGAATGGACAGAGGTGATTACAATTGCTAATTACTTACTACAAAGAAAACTTAGTTACTTAAGCTCTTTACTTTTAAATTTAAATGATTACAGAAAATATTTTAATTATAAAGAAAGCTTTTACAGGCTTCCCTAAAATCTAAAATATACAGCATGAGAGATATAATATTAAGTTCCAAGCATCACTGTTAAAGTTCCCAGTGACAAAATTGTTGACTTTGGAAACAGGTGATGTGAAATTTCAAGAGAATAACTTGAGGTCAGTATGATAGCTTGCCATACCTTTTGGGGCCAGTGAACAGCCTGAGGCTACTGTCAGGAACACTCCATCCCTTTGTCTCACGTTTTCTCATTCCTTTTATTTTGTCCCTGCTTTTTCATCTTTTTTAACGTTTCTCTTTTCACTTCCTTCTTTGTCCTACTATTACTTTTTTTTCATTTTATGCTACCTACTAAAGTATAATTCATATATGTGAAAATAAAACGCACAATCACAAATGTACAGCTTGAAGAATCGTATATATAATAAAGATTTTGAATATTTCCATCATCCCAGAAAGTTCTCTGTGCTTCCGTCATTTCCCCCTTCCCAGCAGTCATTATTTTCATTTCTTTTGCCCTTTTATTCCTGTTCTTTTAGTGCCTGTCATGCCTCAGGTGGACCAGTGACACTGCAGGCACTAGTTTCATAGCTGGCAATTGGGAGCAATAGAAGTTACTGATTCCCAGCTGTTGAAGTATTTCTTAAATTTATAACCTCAAAGCAACAAAGACTTGTTCAGGACCCCCTAGCAACTCTACACCAGGCTAGGCACCAAGTTGTATACAAAATGTAGCATGGTCCCAAATCTAGAGAAACTGACATTCTCTAGTCCTTTAAGTTACTGGGAGAGGAAGGACCCCTGCCACTCAAGTTCAACAGAATTCTAGATCAGAGTAAGGCTTTGTTAACATATAACAAATACAATAAAGACCTCTACAGTTTGTTCCTAAAACTATCAGTTAATAAAATTTTGTTGAAAATCTGCAATGTAGCTTCTCTGAAAAATTTACAAGTGCAATCATTCCCTTTTGTCAAAGAATGCTTGCATGACAACACCTTTTCTTAGTGTTGGGGCTAAGGGAAGTTTCTGGGTTTGGTTTTTGAGAAGGCAATTCATTCACGTTTCACATTTTAGAGATACAGAAGGTCTATAGTGACGTGTCTCTCACCTTTTTTTCAGGTAATCAATGTATATATCCTTGCAGAGATTTTTTTCTTTACATATCTCTATCTATTAATATAATCTATATATAATCTATAGTATATGTGTGTAGGGAAATATATATATTATATATATAATCTATATTATATATAACGTGTAGGGATATATATATATATATATATATATATAATTTCCTTTCTTTTATACAAATGGCAACGTTCCGTAAACACTGTTCTACAGTTTGCTTTTTTTCTCTTTATATCTTAGAGATCATTGCATATCATTAAATAAAGAATATCCTTATTCTTCTATACCAAAATTGGTGACTAAATTATTTCTACTTTTTTTTACTATTACAAACAATGCTGCAGTGAATAACTTTGCACATAAGCCTATATGCATTTGTGCAAGTAAATTGAGTGGATTAATTCCCGGACGTGGAAGTGCTGTATCAAAGGAGTATGTACACTGGTAGTTCTGATAGATTTTGTCAGCTTACTTTCCATGGAGATGGTACTCATTTTTACTCCTACGAGTGATACATGTGCGTGTGCCCCCCACACCCTCTTCAACCTTTTCAATTTTTGCTGTTCTGATAAGTGAAAATGGAATCCCAGTTTAGATTTTAATGTACATTTCATTTATTATGAATGAGGCTGAGCATCTTTATGTTTCAGAGTTGTTTCTGTTTCCTTTTCTGTGAACTTTCTGTTCAGTTCCTTTGCCCATTTTTTTCCTATTGGTCATTGATCGCTTTCTTAATGCTTTGGTGGGTTTTATAGAGTAGGGATAATTGCCCTTTGTTGGTGCTACGAGTTGCAAATGTTTTTTCCCAAGTTTTCATGTGTCTTTTGAGTTTGCTTTTGGTGGGCTTTACCATTCAGACTTTGTTACGTAGCCAATTTTTTTTTTTAATGAGTATATGTGTTCTTTATTAGGATTCTCACAAGAATAAGACACATTAGCACTGTCCTTCTGATGTGATAGAGAATACGTACATCTGACCCACATCATGGCAGGAAATAGGCAGGGGTAAGGGCTCTCAGAGCTGGTACCAAGTGTCCGCTGAAGAAATCTCCATTCACCAAAGCAAGGATGTTTCCTTGAATTCCATCATCTCTGCTGCAGCTTCCGGTTCTCCATGACTGGCCCAGAATCCTCCATTCCAGAACCTCTTGCCACACCTTCAAGACCTAGGTCACCTGTCCCATGTCTCACTCACCGAGGCGCCTCTGGAATTTTGCAGCATATCTCTTTGGTATGTTGCTGCCCTGCCACCCTCAGAGGCGTAGGTGGGGGTTAGGGGGAAATATATTACTGATATGTAGCCAAATTTGTAAGTTTTTATTTGATGGCTTTTGAATTATAGGTCATGATTATTTAATGGCTTTCGGATTGTAGGAACATTTCGAGGGAGGCAGGGTCTATTAGTCTAGCAAACTTTGAAGAGGAGTGGAACAAAGAACAGCACGGGAACCTAAGATGGGGAAATGGATAACTTGTCAGAGTCAGGGCCTCCCTTATAGTCTTGCTATTCAGTTTGACATGGATCTCAAGTACCATTGTATCAGCAGAGTTCTTGTTCTAGACAACAGAAACTGGCTAGTTAACTTAAGCAGAAAAGGAAAGATACCAGGAAGCTCACAGACTCTAAGAAAAGGGTGGATAATAGAGGCTCAGAAAATAAACAAGAGCAAGGGAACCCGTAGCCAAGATCCTGCACAGGCCTAGACCTGGTTAGGGCTGCTGCTGCCAGTGGCATTACTACCACTAGAAACTGGATCCTGACAGCAGAATGAACTAACTGTCCCCATTTCATTGTCACTTGTCTCAGATTTACTGTGTCTGTTGCATCGGATTCAAAGTTCCAGGTAAAAGTATTTAGTTGGCCAGACAGTTGTGAAAATGATAGACAAATGAAGCTTGAAATCTTAATCTAGCCAAAGGCTGGTGAGGAAATAGCTGGTATGAAATTATTTAGAGTTCTTGTTATACTTCCCTTTCATGTAAAAAATTACAACCTTATTAAAGAAGATGAACTGCTCTGAAAAAGTTTCATATTTTGTTCATGCTAAAAATAGGAGATACTTAAATGATAAGTTTTATCCATGGCTTTAGTCAAAGACGAGTTAATTTCTGATACATGCTGAGATGAGATCATTTCGAATCTGTCCACTGCAACATTTTGAGTTTGTTGTAGGAGAGGTAATGGTGCATTTAGCACAGTTTTGTTCAGTATTATTCAGTGTCTGTGGTTTCTGTGGGAACGGACTTAACATTGACCCGGATTCTCTGAGCATCTTTTTCAACGTGCAGTTATTTCATAATGAAAGAGCCTGATTGTATTATTAATCCAGTTTTATACCACAGTTCTGCTACAATGCAGCTTATGTGTTTCTACACTCTGCAGTAAAACCCACAAGGTTTATGGAAAAAAAAATGAGGTTGGGGCACAACACTTAAAAACTTCATCAGTGATACATAAAAACTCATAGGAACCTATCTGCATATGTTAATTGGTTAAAAGATACATAAATACTGCAATAAACAGGACACTGTACCTTTTAAAAGACCTGAAGTTGGGCTTCCCTGGTGGCACAGTGGTTGAGAGTCCGCCTGCTGATGCAGGGGACACAGGTTCGTGCCCCGGGCCGGGAAGATCCCACATGCCGCGGAGCGACTGGGCCCGTGAGCCATGGCCGTTGAGCCTGCTCATCCGCAGCGGGAGAGGCGACAGCAGTGAGAGGCCCGCGTACCGCAAAGAAAAAAAAAAAAAAAGACCTGAAGTTTGCTGTGGAAGAGGAGTTCAAAAGAATTGTAGCTTATGAGTTGTTCTGAAGTAGTGGTAGGAAGGTAATAATACAAAATCAGATGGGAAGTTATAACACCAGATGTGGGTGGGTGCTGCTCACAGCACACGTGGTGAACTGAAGTTGCTAGAAATGTTTGAGATGTGTCCATGTATGTTTTGAGGCTCAGAGCAACTGGATGCAAGTTTCTGTATTCACCTAGTGTATTTCATGGACAGTTTGCCCTCAAATTGTTCCCTCTTATATCAGATGCATTGGAACAAATTTATGTTTTTTTAAAAAGCATCGTAGCAGAACGGACTGTATTTTTACTAGAACAACTCAACAATGTATATTTTAGGGGGAAATGACTAATATTTGACTTTATACCATTAAAGAAATGGTTTAAAAATGATCTTTCTTTTAAAATTAAATGTATTACATTTGCACTATATGTACTTTATTATTAAGCTGAGATATCTCCATTTGAAGGACTTAGGAGTTAGATGCCCTTAATTAAGAAATAGAGTAATACTGTACTGGCCCTCTGATTGGTTAATGGAAGCCCTTATTGGAGGTTAAATTTAGTTTCAACTACATATACATACAATGGAATATTATTCTGTCATTAAAAGGAATGCCATTCTGGTGTGTGCTACAGTATGGATGAACCTTGAAAACTTTATGCTAGGTAAAATAAGCCAGACACAAAAGGATAAATATTGTATGATTCCACTTATATGAGATACCTAGAACAGGCAAATGCATAGACACAGAAAACAGAATAGAGATTACCAGGAGCTAGAGGGAAAGGGGAATGGACAGTTATTGTTTAATGAGCACAGTGACTGTTTGGGATGATAGTGATAAAGTTTTGGAAATAATAGATAGTGGTGATGGTTGTATAACATTGTGAATGTACTTAATAGCATTGAATTGTGCACTTTGAAATGGTTAAGATGGTAAATTTTTATGTTATATGTATGTTATCAAAATAAAAAATCAGTTTTATTTCCTCTGTTATTTGTATCTTCAACGTTACCTGTATGTACCACTATTTATACAGAGATACTGTAAATACTTCTAAACATTGATCACACTGAATATGTGACTAGTTTTTTTCTCTTGTCAAAATTTGAGTGCTGAATTGAGATGTTTCTTACAATGCCTAGCAATTAAAGTATGTTTCTGGAATTTCACCAATTCCTTTAAGAAAGTTAGAATTTTTTTTCTTCTAAGAGTAAGCAGAAAAATATTTGTTAACCTGCATGTTTACGTATATATCTAGTCAGTTAATTATTTTACATTTGAGAGACAGGCCAGAGTACCCCGGAATTTCTTCTGCAGTGTTATAGAATTCCTGGAATGTTGAAGCTCTTGACTATAGTACAGCATTTCTGTTGAATTAGAGAAAAATATCTTCTTTAAGTATTTGTCATGGAAATAATTTGAGTAAATTAGCTTTTCCACTAATTTCTAATAATTATAATAATTGAGTAGTATTCTAAGCTAGGTCAGAGATGATTTTTTTTTAAGAAACAAATTCTATAACAAATGGTTTTCTCAGCTTTTCCATGTGATGAAATGTTTGTTCTTATTACTTATCTATATGTCTCCTAAAATGTTATCCAACTGTATTTCAGGTTGCAACAAGGACAGTGTCCGAGCAGGCTGTAAAAAATGTGGCTATCGTAAGTACATTAAAAAATTGCATTTTGTGCAGTGAATCATTTGCCTCTTTGGGCAATATGATTTAGCATCCTGATTTCAGGGCCCTGAGCATAGCCCTTTAGCCCTGTTATTTAGCTCAGGTTTGCAGATAATTCAGAAATTCCTCTGCCAGCACCGAATACTCACTTTTCTTCCCTGCTGTGCACCCAGTGACAGGTGGCTACATATCTGGTGACTAGCAAAAATGTCGTGAAGTACAAATGGAGTAGTAGATTTAGGAGTCTGGCGAAAGTATATTCCCCAAAAAAGTACATAGATACTTATTCTTTTATTCCTTATCCTTATAGATACTAGGCAAAGAGGTGAAAGCAATGAAAACTATTTATGAAAGGTTTTCCTGTTTATTGAATTGACTCTTTATAAGGGTGAAATTGGTCCCAGAATTTCTGCTCACTGGTGAAACCTTGATTTAAACAATCAACCTCCATTATGATTAGTGAAATGGAGTGGAAAAGTAAACTTCAGCATGAGCAATTATGTAGTCTAAATTTGTACTTATGTAGTATAAACAAGTATCATTTCCCTAGGTAAATGTAACAATTCCTAAAGACTTAATAACAGCTCTGACAGTAGCATTACACTGTTTTCTTAGTTGTTTGGAGAGCATGCAAATGAGCCTGGATTGTTGTTAATACTCTCATTCATAGCAGAGTTATTTTGTAACGAAATAAAGATGTTCTTGTATGGAAAAACAAATTTATTTTTTCAAATCATGTAATAAGAGAGCACTTGGGGCATGAATCTCCAGTAGAAGGGCTAAGAATAAAAGCATGCTAGGAGAACCAAGTCACATGCCTTCAAGCAAAGGCTGGCTGAAACCTGGCTCAGTTGAAGCATGCTCAACTAGCAAAAGTGGACGTATAAGTCTACATACCCTTCATATAAATAAAAACTCCTGAAGAATGTGCTTGCATGCAAGAAATGAGTGCAATGATGTCTTTTCTGTTTTTTAAATTTGCTTATATTTATTTATGCTTTGTTTATGTTCTTTCAGTCCTTGCTAACTTCATTTCTTTATTCAAGACTTAAGATTAGGAGTACATACGTAAGGAGTAAAACCACAAAGAAAAGCAAAGAAGACATACATAAGTGAGGCTAGTGGTTATCTGGGGGAAGTGGGGGACAGCAAGTGGTTTGTGGGGGGAGGGCACACAGAAGATTAATTAGGGTTCTGGTAACAATCTGTTACCTAACCTGAGAGATGGGTATGCAGCTATTTACTTTATTAATTCTCTTTCAACTGTAAATATTCATTGTATATACTCTTCTCTATGTATGATGCACTTAACAATAAAGATTGTTTGAATTTTTACATTAAAAAATACTTAAGAAAGTACTACATATATCGATGCTGTATTCACTTCACAATCTAGAATGGATTTCCCAGTCTGTCTACTAATATCAGTTCATCTACTTGGACTCCTTTTAACTTAAGACTTGTAGGAAAGCAATTAAAATCATTTTTTTGGAAATAGAATTCTTGTTGATCTAGTTTCCTCATTGCTACTTTATATTAGACAATAATGGAAGCATCTGTAGTAATTATAATTTATTTAGAGAAGCCAAGTAAGCAAATAGTTTTGATTGTCTGTCCAAGTTTAGTGCCTTCTGCTATATTATTCAAATCTTTCTTTTGATTTTGGTGATTATATTATAAACAATTTCTAATTTGTCTCCTGTGGAGAAATTTAGTAATATTTCCCTTCTGGGTTAAATTTACATCTTACAGCTGCTAGAGATGAAAGTCTTCTCAGTGTACACCTCTTTCTAATAGAAACTACATTTTAAAAATTATCTGTTATTTGGAGGCCAGAATCTTTGTGTTGCTTGTAGAGGTAAGACAAAGGTCAACAAAACCCTTCAAAATGTTTTTAATGCCTAAGAATTTGAATATTTGTCAGTGAGGTACGAAAGAGTATTTTCTCTCTATTATTGTGAAAAGAGTGGTTTAGATTGTACACTTTTTAAAACTTTAATACTTGATTGAAAAATATTGTCAGTATGTTTCAATAATGGTTATATTGTTTTTTAAAAGTTTCAAATTAAACATGAATGTGTTGCTAGGTTAACATGGATCTCACTTTTTCATGGCAGAATTTCCTCAGCAAAGTTAGAAGAATGGTCATTTCTGTAATGAGTTTTTATTTGAATTTTTTTGAAGTTGGCAACTTCTGAATATTTAAAAGCTACAAGGACGCTAAGCCTTTGTCCATGCAATAAATGTCTCAGATAATTATGACAGTTCTCAGAAAATATGCTAAAATGAGGTTCAATACAGTAGACTCACTAGTTGAGCATTTGATTACAGCAATAGGAAACAAAAACATTTTATTTAACTTAAAAATGCTAATCTATTGATATAATATACAGTCATGACCTTTTCTTTGCCATGGGTCTGCTGATTGGTGTTACACACAATCTTTTGAGTGGAAATCATATTTGAAATGTATTTTCTACTTTTTGTAGTTTGTTTCTTCAAAGATGAGCAAGCAGTTAAGATACTTGTAAAGAAATCTGAGTGCAGAATCCTTCTATCATTAGTTCTCAACTAGAGGTGATACAGGTTCCCTGGAAATCTGTGAAGGTTTTTTTGTTTAGTTGCCCATAACAACTGTCATACTGGAGAAGAGCAGTATGACATTTAGTATGTAGGGTCCAGGAACTATAAACATCCTGCAGTGTCTTGGACAATGAAGAATTGTCTGGCCCAAAATGCCAATGACACCCCCTTTGAGAAAAAAAGATACCTTTTCTCACTGTTTTAGGGTTTTTTCTCCTATCTTTACAGTCTTCTTACCAAGACCTAATTTGAAAACTGCTTTTTTAAAGCAGTTCGTCTAAATCAAGCCTTTCCAGAAGTACTGCTTTGTTTCATGGAAACAACTACTCTTTTTTTTTTTCCACATTCGTATCTTTTTACTTACATGATATTATATAAACAAACTTTGGAACAATGAATAACAGGCTCTTGGTGGGGTAAAATATCAACAGATGGAGTAAAATAGATAGGCATGAGCTGAGGAAAAAATGATCAAGAAGGTACAATGCCAGGAGAAGCAGGACTGGGCAGCATCATATAAGCCAAGGGAGTAAGGGTTTTCAAGGTTGAGGAGAAATGTCAGGTGTAACAGATAAGATTTGTGAGAAATAGATTGAAAAATGTTCACTGGATTTGCCAGGTAGAATGCTTTGCTGACCTTAGCAAGATCAGTTTAAGTAGAGTTGTAGGTCATGAAACAAACTTTGTAGATTCAGGCCTGAATAGTGAGGGATAGGGCCTATGTTATTTCCATTTTTCAAGAAATTTACATGAGGAAAGTAGGGTACTGTCTTAAGGTCCATATGGGGTGCTATAACAAAATAACACAGGTTGGGTAGCTTATAAACAACAGAAATGTATTGCTCACAGTTCTAGAAGCTGGAAGCCCGAGTTCTGGATACCAGCATGGTTGGGTGAAAGCCCTTTTCCAAGTCACAGATTTTTGTTGTATCCCCAGTTGGCGGAAGGGGCTAGGGATCTCTCTGGAGTCTCTTTTAGAAGGCATTAATCCCATTCATGAGGGTACCACCCTCAGAGCCTAATCACCTTCCAAAGGCCCCACCTACTAATACCATCACCTATGGGGGTTAGAATTTCAACATATGAATTTTGGGGGACACAAACATTCATATCATATTGAATAATTCCTAGAAGGGAATATGGGATAAATGGAGGGTTTTATATTTGAAGTATAAAATGTATATATAGACCAAGGGGATATTAGAAGAGATCTTGTAGATATTGGAGACAGGAGAAGATTATGGAAGTTTCTCTTAAGGGGTATGACAAGGTTACCTCTTAAGTCTGGAGGAAACTAGGTGAGAAAAATATGGTTGTTTTCAGGTGCAGAGACAAAGTAGAAGGAGATGCTGCCTGTTAATCTTAATTTTCTTTGTAAATTAGGAGGCAGAATCATCTGTTTTGGGAGGAGGCACTGAGTGGGCCAGGGAATGGTCGAAGAATGATTTAAGTCAGGCATTAGTTTGGAAAAGTCATTGAGGGAAATAGGAGAGGAAGCTGACCAAAGACAAACAAAAAATGAAAAAGTTTGTGTTTGTGCTCATGTCCGTGAATGTGTGATTGTGTTCAAGCATTGTTTGGCTGCTCAGGGGTAGGCACGACTCAAAGAAAGGATAGCTTTGACCCAGATTAGTTGTTTTACAGTGAGGTACAGTAGAAAAGGAATATGAAAGAGTCAGATGAGGCTTATAAAAGAGTGTTCAGATGGTAAGGAATGATAGACTAAGAGAAAAATGAAGGGATTAAGTGACTGAAGGTCTTAACGAGATTCAGAAACAGATCTGTGCATGGGTGTAAGGGAATAAGGAAGCTAGAAGGATAAAAGGTTATAGTCAAAGTACTATAATATTGGAGTTTAAAATTTCAGACATGAAACAGTTCCAGGTGATGACAAGGAGCCTTGTGTGGCCATGGCATCTAGAATGTCAAGGGGCTGAGAAAAGCCAGTCAAAGCCATAGGCTGTCTGTCCAGGCTATGGAAGGTCTTAAGGTAAAGAGCTAGAGTGTGAGTCAGGCTCCAACAATTTTGGTGGATGGGGCTGTTACACAGCAGCAGAGGGCTAGCTGCAGGGGTGCGTAGGGGACTGCTATGTGGAAGCAGTGTTGAGGATCCTGGAGGATGCTAATAATACAGAGGTAAGCTGTAAAGAAGCGTCTGCAGGAAAGAGCCAATTATCCCTTAAAAAAAGCAGTAGAGGGAGCATTCTGTGAACAGGTAGCAGTTTGTTCACCAGGGATTGCAGGTTTCAGAAGCTGTCATAATAAGATGGGGAGAGAAGGGGGTGATGATTAGTTAAGTCAGAGGAACAGAAAGAGCAATGTGTGGATGAGACTTCAGGGAAGTAATATGAATACAGAGGCCTGCACTTTTGGGTGGGAACCAAAATGATAGGGATGTGA